TCGAACGGGCCAACTCTCCGCACAGTCTGACGTTCTCCATCTGTGCATCAACATTAACTGGGATATTTGTCGGTTAGACCGCATATTCCACCGGAAACATCCTCTGCCTTGAACCAGTTTGTGCAACCTCCTATCTTACAACATCCATGTCCAATTCCATCTACTAGTTCAGGGTATGCTGGGTAGATGATCCCTCCAAACACAACCTTTAAACCTTCCTCACAGATTCATTTGCAATTCCTGGCTCAAGGGTTCCAGGTGCCAACCTTTACATGAGCTGCACCATCTACTAGTTCAGGGTATGCTGGGTAGATGATCCCTCCAAACACAACCTTTAAACCTTCCTCACAGATTCATTTGCAATTCCTGGCTCAAGGGGTCCAGGTGCCAACCTTTACATGAGCTGCCTTTATGTAAAAATTGAAATGTCAGTACATAAATCTGTCACTGCAAAGTATTACTTATTTCATTGTAACATTGTCACGAGTAGTGATTGTACTTGCACGTCTAGCATTTTTAAGTTAACAAGAACAAATCCTGGTTAAATTTAATTTAGTTGTCAGTTGATTAAAGAGTGCGTAGTTATATATTTCACCAAAGTAACATTGAAATCCTTTTTTTTTTTTTAATATCAATAATTTTACTGGCTGTAAGTTTAGGAATTTCAACTAACTTCTATTACAATGCTTCTGGCATAAAATTAGTATGTATTATACATTTAGAGCTTGTTTGTGAGAGATTAAAATCAGATTAAAATTGAAAATATAGCTGTTGGAGTTGATTTTTATTAAATGAGTGGGACCCAATAACGACTATATTTTCAATTTTAATTGGATTTTAATCATTCCCAAACAAGCTCTTATTTATGCAGTTTAATGCTTTTATTCTAATCTCCTTCACATCATTTGCAAGCTTTTATTTATTTGTGTGTACGTTGTTCACCATTAGGAATGACAATTTCTCTTCTATGTTGCTGTTTCCAAGCATGGGAACCAGGTGACATCCTTAGAAGAGTCTTAACTCAAGTAAGATAGAGACCAAACATGTGTGTTTTCATTTGGTCAATTCAAATGGAGATTTTCCAATTTTTTCCGGGCACATTGATGTGTATAACGAACATTGGATGCTCATCAGTATATTATCGTCATGCTCCGTACAGAATAAAGTACAATAGGAGGGGAAAACAATTTTCTAAAGAAACTCAAGTAAGATAGAGACCAAACATGTGTGTTTTCATTTGGTCAATTCAAATGGAGATTTTCCAATTTTTTCCGGGCACATTGATGTGTATAACGAACATTGGATGATAATCAGTATATTATCGTCATACTCCTTACAGAATAAAGTACAATAGGAGGGGAAAACAATTTTCAAAAGAAAACATTAAGATCAACTGTAATTGGGATTGCTTATATTACAGTAGTTATTTTTTTCTATATGAATTTGGTATAGTTTTGCGTCTGTGAATCAACGTGAAAATGACTTTTGTGTCTTAGCCGCCTAGCTTCTTAGTATTGTCTGGCTCCTGGGACAATATTGATATGAAACGGTACAGTGTACACCAAATGAACCACTCATCGAAATTGGTATAACTCCAATTTTTGGCAATTCTAGAAAACAAGATTCCAAATGGGAAGGAAATTCCTACTGTACTGTGTGATAGTTGCAAATATCTGATGTTTACTCATTTTCTAGAGACATATCTCGATCTAATGGACTAGAGATGAGTTGTGCATGCACATCGATTCAATTGATTTTGTGGAATTAATATACTGAAAATTGGAAGAAGTAAAATTCTATATTCATTGGATTGCAGATTTCTATAACATTCCATTATATTCAAATCGATGGAAAACTAATAACTCCAGATTAGAGTCTAGAGTAAGAACAAAAATAACAAAATCACCATTAATCTACTGGGAAAACATCTAAACTAATCTAAAGAAACCACGAAGTTTAACGTTGTTAAACTGTTGTCTGTACGAAGTTAGCAATATGCTTCCATGATTGGATTCCACCAAGAAATTCCCGAGGCAGGGGCGGCTGTTATTAACGAACAGGAAGAAGAAGAAGTCTCTGCTTTCGTGTTCAAAATCTTGGACTCCTCCTCTGTTATTAACGAAGAAGAAGAAGATTCTGCTTTGTTTTCAAATTCTTCAACTCCTCCTCCAACGCCGCCTTGAACATATCAAGTTCATCCAGTTCAAGGTCTTCCACCTCCATGTCCCACCAAAACCCACCACCATCATTCACTGCAGAACCCACAGAATAATCCCTCTTAAAATCTGGCGTTTGGGCGTAGTTTTTCACGGAATCATCAGAAGTTATTCTATTCTCAAACCGATCAATTACGGAATCCACACTGGAGTGCCCAAAAGCAAAGACGCGTTTGCCGGCTAAGGATTGTGCGATAATGGCGATTTCAGCGCCAGTCAGAACACAGATTTCGCTCGCTTTCTTGAAAAGCCCGACTCGACGCTTGCAGAAAGTCACTTGCCTGTTACTCAATTTTTCTATTTTCTTCATTTCAATCTTCCTTCTACCCAGTGTTTTCTTCTTCTCGACCACCATCTTTTCGCAGACAAAACAGTGATTTATTCAACAAATCAAATGTATATATAAGTAGAGAGACAGAGAGAGAATTTAAGGTTTTTCTTGTGTGTATTGTGCGAAAACGAGAGAGAGAGAGAGAGAGGCGTGAGAAAGAGATGGTGCAATAAACAGATATTTATAGGGTTAATTTTGGGGTTTGGAACTAAAGTATTATGGTAAGAAAATCAAATGAACTAATTCTATAGCAGTTAATTTTATGGTAATAATTATTAGTCAAACGGCCTTTTTTTTTTGGAAACAAATATCGCTAGCATTTTGAATAGGACAGGGACAGCTTTCAAAATATTGGTTTTATTAATAAAAAAATATTTTTTAATGGTTAGAAGTTCATTAACAACTTGACTCATAAACTAAAAATATTATCCAGATGTTTATATTCTTTAGATATTTTAAGTATTACCTGGAAATTAGCTAATTAAACTATTGAAAAATCTTATTATCCGTAACAACAAAGTTAAAAATTTTGGATTTACGGTAATTTGAGTTTTAAGTACATTACTGTCATGTTTGATATATAAATAACATATCTTGACATATGCTTATGATTGAAATAATTTCCACTAAAAATTTTAATAGTTTTATCAATCGAATAAAAAGTCGTTTGAATAATGATTACTTTACGCATACCATAAATATGTTGTTATTAACTGCTATATAGTTAGTATGAAATAATTTCCACTAAAAATTTTCATAGTTTTATCAATCGGAAAAAAAGTCGTTTGAATAATGATTACTTTACGCATACCATAAATATGTTGCTATTAACTGCTATATAGTTAGTTTGAAATTCTTACCATAATACTTCCACTGAGAAATAGGATGTTGTTGGTATTAACAGGCCACAAAAACTCAAAGTAATTGTAGAAAGTAAATTGAACACAAATGATTTTTCGCCATAAAGCCCGGATGTTCACCAAAATTGGACTAATCACCCGTTGAGCATTCACCGAAGTGATTATCGCTTCAATCCACTAGAAACCAACAATAAATCAAAGCATGTGTCACAATACAACAGATCCACCAAGGATAAAGCCCTCAACCCAGATTTCCTCTCAAGAAACCACAAACTAGAATTTGTATGCATGAGAGAGGAGCCGAACCGATCATAGGGTAAAAATTGGATGAAACCGGATACAAGTTTTTGCGGGTTTTAACTTTCGATTTTTTTTTGTCAAAAAGGGTGAAAACTAAAATTTGTATGCATGAGAGAGGAGCCGCCTTCATCGGAAAACTGGAAGAAAACGGTACTTTGCCAAACAATGAAAGGAAACCATGGTAGTCCTAGAATAAAAGGAAGAATAATGCTATGAGTACAGGGAATAATGCACGGAATTGATACAGAATTTTTAGTTTCAGTCATATGGGGGGATGTGCCTCAGCAGATCAGGATACAAGGGTTGTCATACTGGTGTCCACAAAGAATCCAATTTCATATCTTGTAAGAGACGGAAATCGAACCCTCACACTACGACTGCCAACTCAACTGAAACTACTTCACTCATGTCTTTTGCACCACTGAACTATGCCACGAGAGGCAAACTTCAAGATTTATTCTTCACAAGTTAGGGTGGTTTTTGGAATAAATTACTTGATCAAATTTACCATTAATTAAGTTTGTTCGTAATAAATAGGTAAAGTTTTAGATATAATAATTTGGAAAATGCTTTTTGTGCATCATCATTGACAGATATTTTTACAGATTGATGATGTGGCGATAAATTAAATTAAATTAGTCAAAATCTCTTCACCACTTAAACGGTTATGCTTATGCAATGTGGGATAATGGCAAAAAAAAAAAGTGGAGGATTCTATTTTTATTTTGTTGGTGAGATTTTGAATAATTTTCATTCATTTATTTATGAACTTTTTGTTTTCTAGGTTGGAAAATGAAAAATTTTAACTTCGTTTTTGACTTCTTTTAATCATGTTTGTCAAATTGGCTAGATATACAGCAATTAGATAGATATTAAAAAATATCCTATGAATGAACTTTGTAATCTATACATTGATTTGTAATCGGGAAATGGAAAGTGCATCTATGGGACGAATAAATCTATATTCAAATTAAGGGTGATGCTACATAAGGATTTACACCCCTCACATGAAGGGGGGACCGCGTACAATAGATTATGATTTATTTTATGCGGCCCCCTCCATGTGAGTGGGGTGTAAACCCTTATGTACACCCTAAAGTGTACATGTAGTTTAATCCTCAAATTAATTACCATAAGTGATATTATCTGGATTCAATAACACTGGCAATAAAGCATAGTTCAACAGAAAATACAACGGGGAAGGGAATTAAAACAACAAAGTACCATTAACCATTCACACATAGACACATCTATCACAACATACTGGATCTCAATATAACAGAGGTAAATACCTCAGTAGTCATCCCCTTCATCACCATCCTCGTCATTTCCCTCGGCTCCTACCTCCTCATAGTCCTTCTCAAGAGCAGCAAGGTCCTCTCGTGCTTCGGAGAATTCACCTTCCTCCATTCCCTCACCCACATACCAATGGACGAAAGCTCGCTTGGCATACATAAGGTCAAACTTATGGTCAATGCGAGAAAACACCTCGGCTACACTTGTTGAGTTGGAAATCATGCAGACAGCTCTCTGTACCCTCGCAAGATCGCCTCCAGGCACAACAGTAGGGGGCTGATAATTGATACCGCACTTGAAACCAGTGGGGCACCAGTCGACGAATTGGATGGTACGCTTGGTCTTGATGGTGGCAACAGCTGCATTAACGTCCTTAGGCACAACATCACCACGATACATCAAACAACATGCCATGTATTTGCCATGGCGAGGGTCACACTTCGCCATCATAGATGAGGGCTCGAAAGCACTGTTTGTGATTTCAGCAACAGAGAGCTGCTCATGGTATGCTTTCTCGGCTGAGATAACAGGGGCGTACGAGGAAAGCATGAAATGGATTCTCGGGTAAGGGACCAGGTTGGTTTGGAATTCGGTAACATCCACATTAAGAGCACCGTCGAACCTCAGTGATGCAGTTAAGGAAGAGATAACCTGCAACCAATAAGAATGTTCAGTACAGAGATAATCAAACTGAAGGCTGATTTTATAAACACCCATTGCAGTATGAGTGCAACAGTACCTGAGAGACAAGGCGGTTAAGATTAGTGTAGGTGGGTCTCTCGATGTCGAGAGAGCGCCTGCAGATGTCATAAATTGCCTCATTGTCGAGAAGAATAGCAACATCAGTATGTTCAAGTAGGGAGTGGGTGGAGAGGACACTGTTGTAGGGCTCAACAACAGATGTAGAGACTTGAGGGGAAGGGTAGACTGTGAAGCCAAGCTTTGACTTCTTGCCATAGTCAACAGACAGTCGCTCCAGGAGCAGGGAACCCAAACCAGAACCAGTGCCTCCACCCACGGCATTGAACACAAGGAACCCTTGCAGACCAGTGCAGTTGTCAGCAAGCTTTCTGATACGGTCCAAACAGAGGTCAACAATCTCTTTACCGACTGCACAAAAACACACAAATCTCTTTTGTCAGAATTAGTTGGTAAAGTGTAAGCTACTCAATTACAATAAGATAACTAGAGCAACGCATAAAGTTGAGTACTTGTGTAGTGGCCACGGGCAAAGTTGTTGGCAGCATCTTCCTTGCCACTGATGAGCTGTTCGGGGTGGAAGAGCTGACGGTATGTTCCAGTTCTCACTTCATCAATGACGGTAGGTTCAAGATCCACAAAGACAGCTCGTGGGACGTGCTTTCCAGCACCAGTTTCACTAAAGAAAGTGTTGAAGGCATCATCACCTCCTCCAACGGTCTTGTCACTTGGCATCTGGCCATCAGGCTATACAAGAGAAAGAAAATGTTAGGATCACATGCATAGAATTTTATTGAATTGAAACAAAATACTGTATTTGACTCCAGAAATAAGCTTCGAATTCAAAAATCAAACAGAAAAGAGAAACGGTGGTCAAGGAATCAGGATAAGAAAAATAACAGATTTGTATCGACATTTAATATAACGATGGTGTTTCCTATCATACAAATTATATGACAAAACTGATTATAAATAATGGGGAATCCCAAATCATTATTAAAACAAGAATCTGTCTGCTACTATTTCAAAATGGGGGATCATTGTAAATAAAATATTTTCCCTCCAGCAAAATATAGGATAAAATCAATATCACCGGGAAATCTTTGTCATAAATTTAATGAATAACATATTTTACTGGAGAGATCTACACTAAACCTCGATCGGATAGCAATTTATAGGATAGAGGGCATTAAATCAAATCTTAAATTTGTATATTCCAAATTTACAGATCAGCGTTTAACCAAAAGTTAAAACTATGGAACAAACGTATGCATAAAAATATACCTAATAAACATCGCACACACAGATTTATGATGAATGTAGCGATGATCTATCGAAAAATGAAGATTTAATAAAAAAAATTGGAACAACAAACACAGCACAATTCCATAACGAAATCTCATATATCAATGATATATAAAATTTCCAAACAACACATAAAAATGTTAAATACGTGCAAATACATCATTAATGTCTACAAAATTGCAACAATAAAATTCCATATCGAAATCTTACACATATCAACGATATACAAAATTTCCGAATAACACATACACGTGTTATAGACGTAATAATGCACAATTAATGCCTACAGATCCAATGAGAACATGGCTAAAAATTACCTGAATGCCATGCTCGAGGCAATAAAGTTCCCAGCAAGCATTTCCAACCTGAATACCAGCCTGGCCAATGTGAACGGATATGCACTCTCTCATTTTCGATGGAAATGGTAACGAAAAATGCTAAGGAAAAGGAAAATTTAAAGAGAAAGTAGAGGAAAATTACAGCGGCGTTTATCAAGACGCCCTTCGAATGGAGAGAAATGGAGTTGAGGCTTGGATTTTATAACGTGAGAGAGATACGATAAAGGTGTTAACCATGGTTAGTATTTTGTAATTGAACGGACGGCTGACAGGGTAAGGCTGGGTTGGGTGGGGTTTGGGGAAAGACCCCTTAATTTACGAATTACTTTCTCACAGGTCATTTAGCTTTTATTTGTTTTAATTTGATCATTCAACTTATAATTATTTTTATTTGACAATTCGGCTAACCCGAAAAATATGTATCCTGACTGAATATTTGGTAATGCGATTTTCTATTCTGTTAGATAGTAAAAAAAAAAAATTACCAAATATTACGTTGTCTGTTAGTCTTCTATGTTGGTAAATGAAATGTGTGCAAATATTGGATCCATTCCCTAAGTAAGGTCACAATTTCCACTAATCCAGTCATGAATTTTGTTGTTGTCACACATTCCATCATTTTTTAAACAAATATAAATAAGGCTGTATTTGACACATTGTGGAAAAAAAAATGCATTTTTTCAAGTAACGTGATGAAAAATTTGGGGTCAAAAAATAAGAAAAAATTTTGAATTTGTGTGTAATATTAATTTATTGATGAATGTGTGGTTGAAAATGAGTAGATGAAGAATGCATTTTTCAAGAATGTGGATCAAACATGGGCTAAGGCCCTGTTTGACCCACATTAATTTTTGCATTCTCATTTTTCTATTTATTCACAATCGCACATTCTTCAATAAAATAATATTTTATATCACATCAATAACTTTTCCTTCGTTTTCAACCACATATTTTTCATCACATCAACAGTAAAAATGCTTTCTTTTTTCAAAAATGTGCAACAAACAAAAGCTAAATTGAATAAAAAAATAGTAAAATGATTAAATTGAGATAAAAATTAAATTAGATGACCAATATGAAATAACCATGTAAGTTGGGTGACCAAAGCTGAAATTTCCCTATTAATTGGGTTTTGGCAATTTATAATTTGTTAACCATGGTTAGATATTTTTCATTTAAAATTTGCCGCCCAGCCTCAGATCTATATATTTGGTGATCCTAACCGTAGAATTTAAGCATCTGTGGGCCCCTCGCCACCTTAATAATTGTAAGTTTGCAGACACTTTAGCTTTACACGTGGAGAAGTTTCATCTAAATTGCATACGTGGTTTTCAATTTTTTTCTAATTTGTACTTTGGTGTAGTTATTTTTATTTTTAACATTTAACTCCCCAAACTTCTATTCTTACACTGCAGATTTACATTCCCAATTCTTGAAGTTGTAGGAGGTTGTGAGTGGTTTTTCAACATTACGTTTCAATATAAGAGGAAACGAATATTTCTATTCTACATTTTATTGGGTTCGAAATCATTGTTTGAAGCAGAGATTTTATCGAGGTCTAGTTGCAGTCCAATGTCATTATCACATGTGAATATGCATACTTGCAAGAACAATGCTACACACACAGCTCGGCTCACAGCACGGTTGATAGTCCTCACACATTCAGGGGCGGGATCCGCAATTAAAATAATCACGTGCCCCACGGCTTTGTGAGAAGGCTATAGCCCGAGCTTCACAGCTCGGGCTGTACAAACAGCATTTTTGTACTTGCGAACATCTCACTCCTCATGGTGCAAAATTGAAGAAAAATCAATAATACAATCCTAGTTTGGTATGGGGTTTGGGGGAATAATCTCGTGTGCGTTTTTTTCCTAATATTAGATTGCACATCCCCATCGGTAGGTGGAGAACAACAACCACTTGTGTATTTTCTCAGCATTTGCTAGAAAAATGCGATCACATCATTAACATTGGATATTTTTAAAAGAGAGATGGAGTAATTTATCAATTACTATTTAAAACCAGTAACAGTTGCAATGTTTAAGGAACAATTTTTTAAGATTTTAGCTATAAAAAATGTTAGGCATGTTTGATTGAAATGAATTTCATAGAAAATGTCACATTCGAGGGAAATGAATTCCACTTTGACCGTTTGATTGTAACGTGAAAATGGAAATTGAATTCTAAAGTGCATCCATTTTAAACTGTATTTTCTTTTTTTTATAGAAAACGAATTCATATTGGTTTGATTGGTTTTTATTTTTTAACTAATATGGAATTGAAATTTATTTTCACATTTACCTATCAAACGGATCCTTACTGTATCTAGAGTGTTCGTGAACTTAAAGGTATATATAATTTGAAGTTTTAAAGTGTGTATTTTGTAGATGGAGAATATTAGATGAAGAATCATTGTTTGGACGATTTTAACCGTACTATAATTCAATTATTTTTATAATAATTTGCTTTTCGTTTTTAAATATATATTTAATTTATTTAACTGTTTAGTTACCATCAATGTACATGTATATCTGACAGATTTATTTCACTCATACAACTTCATTAATGTACGAATTCATTATTATTAAATCTCAATTAATTAACATTCACATTCATTTAATTAATATTCATCTTCATTTATATATTTCATTATTATTAATTCTAATTATAAATTAAATAAAATTTCATATTTAGGAATGCATTTCATTATTCACGTCCATGTATGCTAATTAACATCCGATTTTAATTAATTGGAATTAAATATCACATCAAGTGAGAATCATTTTTAGACGATTTTTGCCCTACTATAATTCAATTATTTCAGTAATACCTTACTTTTCATTTTTTAATATTTATTTAATTTATTTAAATATTTAATTACCATCAACGTATATATATACATTTCACTTATATGCTTTCATTAATGTATGAATTTCATATATGAATTAAATATGAAAAACAAAAAATAAAAATTTGAACTACTCCTCTTAATGAGATTATCCTTTATCCAAAAATTCAATAAATTCTCTGTATAAATTAGCTTACAGCTTCCAATTAGTGCTTAAGTAGTCTTAAAAAAAAGGGTATTTTTTTCTTTTGATATCAAAAGAAAAATATAGTCCATGTTTGATAGAAATTAAAATCAATTTTAATTTATGATTTTAATTTAAGTCAAAGTCAAAAAATAATTTTAACCACATATTTCATAGGATTCATAACTTTTCAACCATGCATCTCATCAATTTTTTATTAAAATTTACTAAAAAAATTAATTTTAATTCCCACCAAACATGCAAAATCTTGTTTTAAATGAAATCTGAATGAACTCAACAAAACAGATAATTTATAACTTTTAGCTCCTGGATTTTTCCAATGGATCGTTCATGGACGCACTTCAATCTGCCGTTCACTTTCTTGAATTTAATTAAACAAAAAATAATGCAAATATTAAATCTAATAATTATTTTCATTTTATGGGACGAGAAAATATTTTTTGCTTAATGCAATTAATTGCTCTTGCTATTGGATGGAAAATTCAAGAATTTCGGCCATGCAACACCAAAACACCAAATTTCACCCAAATTTGGTGCAAAAGTCCTCCACCGTGGCACCAAATTTTGCACCATTTATGGTGCAAAGTCCAATTTGCCTCCGTTTTTCATTTGCCAGAAGAATTGTTTGAGAATATTTGTATTATATAATTTTTAATACAATTATTATTATTATTATTAAGCCCCCGTTTGGCACCCATTCTTTTGAAGAATGAGTTTTTGAATAGTGATTGATGTAAAGAATGTGTGGTTAAAAAGTAAGAATAATTTTTGGGTTTATGTGTAATATTATTTTATTTGGAGAATGTATGGTTAGAAATGAGTACTGTAGAAAAATAAAAATGAGAATGAGATAAAAAATGGGTGTCAAACGGGGGCTAAGTTGAGTTGGTTGAAGACGAAAATCATCGTTTTCAAGAATTCATTGCTCTTCATAGACAAATCAGGGATAAAGAAGCTCACATTGCACTTCGAAATGCATTAATCGATCATTTGTGGGAAAAACATACGAATTTCGAGAATTAAATTACAATGATATTTCGACTTTATAATATCATAATATTCAAATTCGAAATGCAGTGCACTATTTTTTAATAACATCATTTAATATTTTTCATTTTTGAAGTGAATTTACTAATTGTACTATGTTTTAATAATATATTTATTAATAAATTTAATATTTTCCTTAATTTAACGTAATTATTTATTTAGTAATTTTTGTATTTCTAAAATAAATAATAATAATAATAATAATTCGAATAAAAAATTACTAAGAATAAAAAAGAAGAAGAAAATGATGATTAAACATTGTTCATTTGGTGTAATAGTTGGAAATGAATTTTAGTTTGGTGCAAAATGATGCAAATTTTGGTACAGCACTGGAGATGGCCTTAGGGTTCAAAAAATAATAATAATTTGATATCAAAAGGTGATATCCTGGCTGAAGGAAATAAGTAATGAGAAATATTTTTGAAAATTTAAAAAAAACATATATGACTTTTACGTAAAGAATTAATAATGTAATGAAAATAACGTTTAAATAAATAAATTTCTTAATTTTTAACAACTTAGACGGTTCATTGTTAACATCGTAAACAAACGAATCTAAAAAACTTCGATTGTAACACATTTCCCATGTAAATGTAGCCAAAAGGAGACAAGTAATTATCATACATTATGGAGTATTTGAACAAGTCCAAAACACATGAAATATGCCCCCCTTTAAACAGTCTTTATTCTCTTTGCCGTCTAATTCAAAAAGTTGTCTCCAACGAAACGGGCATTAACAAAATTTATCCAAGAATTTTATTTATGAAAAAAAAAAAAAAAAAGTTTGACATGCATTTGAGGAATTTGTTAATAATTGTTACGTTTCTACCTTCGTGACCGAGTCACGTGGCTATAACTGTCAGCTAAGCAAAATGGTCACGTCATTACTGCTACTTTGAAGCGATTGTGGCATATCTTATAATCTTGTCGACTATTATTTTACAAGGCATTGCAGTCTTGCGCTCAAGGGCGGTGGGGGGCAGGTCCAACTAGTTTTGTAAGGGAATTTTATTTTATTTTTAATAAAATTTGTTTATTCTATAATGGAATTTTTTTTCAATATATCAATCCGATATAAATTATTATTTTTTATCCCCCTGGCCTCGCCCTTGCTTGCGCTCCTAATGCGTGCGTTTCAAGTGCACAAGTAATACGTGCATAGAGAATAGTAAAGGCGAGATCCGTTGACGAGTTAGATCCCAACCATATTCGAAAGTCGACAATCAAAAAAAAAAAAAAAGATCCTAACAAAATTCCCATATAATTATGCAGTAAAAAGGAGAAAAACCCATGTCATAATATCACTTTGTAATTATTATTCTGTCTCTTTGCAACTTTGTAAAGCACAATCTGCCTACTTGAATTCTTGTTAATCATCGGTTATAAAGCATCTGAACGAGTCCTTGCCGTCTAACTTCCCTGCTACTACCGTATATATAAATTAAACATCACCAATTCATCATATTGCTATTTTTCAAGTGTGTGCATTTTCGTACAAAAATGGGCAGAACCCAAGCCAAAAAGCAAAACAAATTTGTGTACTACATACAAACCCCCATAAGAATTCTAACCATAACGAGAGATTTCTACACTAAAAGCATGTTCGAATGTGCTGGAAGAATTGATCAAGGCAGCATTATAAGCAGCACTGCTCCTCAAGCGTTTCAGCTGCCCAAAAACTTCAATTTGAGATCATCAAAGAGAAGTAAAAACGACGATTCCCGGGGCCTTACTCGGTTAGCTTCTTCAAGACCCGGTAGTGGCGCGAAGATTAACGCAGTGGATTCTGAGGGGAATATTGCGTCGACAAAGCCAGCCGTCAAGGCCGCGGTGGGGATGAGTTACAGTGTAGGAATAGGAAGAATTGGAAGAATTGATGAGGATAGGCCTTGTGAATTCAAAGAAATAGATGTTGACAAGTTTTTGTATCCAAGAGGTAGGACTAATGCTATTTGTCAAGGAAATGTTGTGTGCTAATTTTGAATTTCTACATACATATCCAATATGGTTTGTAATTCATACATATTAGGAATTATGTAACTTGATCGTTGGTGTTGTACAAAATGTTGCCGGTAGATAAACCCAATTTGATGGGATTTTAGACATGTATTGAGTTAAGGACCCATATGACATGACTTTTGAAAAGTTAAAATGTTCTTTTTTGACTTAAAAGCTATTTTTGTACCGATTTAGCTAAATTTATGAAAGAGAAATGCTATTCATCCCCATTGGGAATGCATCCCAGTCTATGTGACGTTTATGTGGCATTAAATGATAGGTGAAATTAAATAAGTCATTTAATTTCACCTATCATTTAAACAATCATTTACACCCACATAGACTGTGGATGCATCCCCACTGGGGATGTATAGCATATTTCTTTATGAAAGTATTTCTTCTAGTTAAAGTTTTTAGAGGAAGTCGGTCCAATATAACTTCCACTCAAAGCACTTCTGGAATATGAAATTCTTTTAAAAATTAGTTTTCAAACAAAAATAAAAGTAACTTCCTTCAAAAGTTCTTCTACAAAAAATAAAAGTCATGTCAAATGGGACCTAAGAGTCAAAAGAAAAAAGCAAGGTTAGACATTTTAGAAGGTGACGTGGTCGCGAGCCATCCCAAGCATGATGTGTCCAATGTTAAGAATGTTAGCAAATATACCATGGGCGTGTCTGGGCGTGCTTGTAAGCTGCTCATAATTAAATTTCAGACCGTTGATTTGTGCAATGGCTTGACTTCAAACAAATGGACTCACTTCTGTGTCGGCCCTATTTTTCCTTTTCTGCCCTCAATTTCGCATTGCATACATCCACATCACCCTCCCCACCTACCACACTAATTTCCCATCCTCCACACCCACGTGCTTTCCCTTTCCATTTTCATCCACAACAGGACGCTCGCCGACTGGAGTCATTTTTTCAGTCGGCCTTGAGGACGCAAAGGCCCAGCTCCATAAAATTTTTACGCTGAACTCACCATCTCCCCCATTTTCCTGCGGTAGCGGGCAACAATTCGACTAATTTACGCATCTACTGTACACATCTTCCACCTTCAATCTCGCGTGACCAGGTTTGCCTTCAATCTCGTGATAAAAAGCCAAGTTCCGTTTGTATCCAGACAACACCTTCAACCAGGCATCACATTTTCAACCGCCATTTTCCATTTCAGTCGACGGTGTTCGTTTCACAGTAGAGGTAAACCCGCAAAGGAATCGCACCTCAACCACAAGATCTCGCCAGGTAAATCGTGGATCTGTTCATTTTTCCGGTAGGAACACTGCATTCTTACTTTTTACATTCGACTCAATCACATTCCCAAGCTTTGATGTTCTGCTTATGTACAAAATGTAATTTTTCCGTCATTTGCTGTAGACGGGGTACCACCCGCACTCCTTCAGTTGGGGCCCCATAAGAATGCACAATGGAATTCGTATGAGATGAACAACTTCGTCCCTGCCTACAAGACTGTCATCGTTGACGGACACAAGAATGGGAAGTACTTCACCAAACACGGCTGGGAGATACTGATTCACTTGTTCAACACCAATTTTGGCCACAATTAGAACAAACAGTAGCTCAAAAATCAATGGGATGCTCTCCGCATGAAACACAAGAGATTCGAAGAATTGCTCAACTGTAGTGGCATCTCATACGACCCGTCGACTGGTAAGATTGGCACCTCGGATGAGTGGTTGGCTCGAAAGATTAAGATACCATCGTTTCATAAATCAGTCATTGCTCGCGTTTATGTGATCGACTGAAACGGTGTTGTAGGTTATAAATGCACAATGGAATTGGTTCATGACATTAGTTGTTAGGCCCTGTTTTCATTTAGGAAATGTGGCAGTCGATTGATAAATTACATAATCATTGTCTGTGTTCTTGGTATACTATTGCTTTATAGTTATATCTCACTTATCGGAGCTGTAATTTTGTGAAATGCTTCATTGTATGCTCTTGTTCTACATCTGTTCGAAATAGGAAAACTGGTTTTTCATCATCATTTCTGGAATTGTCTTCCCATTTGGCTTCCGTTTTTGTAACTGCTTTTCGTGTATGTTCATAGTTTGTGAAAACATTTCCATTTCTATGGACACGATAGAACAAAGAGTACAAAGAATTTAAGGACAAAGATTGACGAGAGGTGTATCGATACAAAGCTCTATTCGAGGACGTTTTCGACTGTGAAATACGCAGTCACACCTACAAAGCTATGTCAAACAGGCTCCGCGATGTTCGAAGATAGTGGTCACGAAGATCACCGTGATAAGATCCTGGTCGATGTGGAGATTGGAGAGCATCGACTCAAGCGACGAAGGCAGAGAACCTGAATCGACTGTAGCAAGCATGGATGTGTTCGACCCGTACAGTGGGGATAAACGGAAGGCGACCAGAGATCGAGCAAAGGAGAAGAAAAATAAACTTTCGTCTGGGGACGTATCCTACTCGATGAATCGTGCGACCACAGCCAGTGAGAAGGTTGTTGCCAAAATTGACCACTTCATTGGACCTGCTGTGTCGGACCCGAAGACATGCATGAAGGAGTTATGGAAACGGGTCAACTAAAAAAACTGATTTGTACTATTGGACGTGCACTTTCCTCTCCCAAAAACGTAATAGGGAGATATTGGACATGAAAGACGATGCGAACGAAACATTCGAGTGGGTAAAGTGGAGCTGGCAGTAGTAAAGGAAAGCACAGCCTCGGCGACAGCTACGTTCGAGTGAGTTGCGTGGACATCCGTTTCACATTTATTACTGTTGTTGGCATTTGGTTATGTTTACATTTATTACATTTGAGGTGAAAACATTTTCTATTTCGATTTGTACGATGGATTGTTGCCTACATTTTTCATGTGCAATCTTAAAACTGTTGCTTACGTGCATGGCTATTATTTTGATTCGTATTGATTTTGAGCAGGCTTGCAAACAATTTCTGCATGTGGATGTATGTTATAATTTAGGTGAAAAAAATACTCATGTACAAAGTAAGGGTCACGTCAATTACATGTTTCACTATGCATGATTGGTTTTTAGAGGAAAAACTTTTGAGTACTCATCAGTGAGGCTAGCCCATAAAAGGCAACGCATAGCAACATAATTTTACATACTTACATAACCATAGTCTTAGATCTCCTATTAATAAGTGTTGGTATGGCATATTTCGATATCAACTGTGCGTTGCAGTCGTCATCCAATGTCGGGGATGAACTTGATGACGAGGCATTTACGAAAGAGCTATGGATAGATATTATTGAGTGGTTTAGGTACTGTCAAATAAGTGAGGTTACTGTAAGTAACTATTATCGTAAACAAAGACGTCGTGTCTCTTGATATCCATTCGCTCGAAACGGTCATATATTCATGCTGAATTCTATGAATTGTAGCCCTCAACAATGCTACACAAAGTTCCGCATGTATCCTGCTAGAGGTGTCAATCCGGGTGGTCCGGGCCGGGTCGGCCCCCAACATATGAGCCCGGTAACGACCCGCGTGAAAAAAAGCCAGTCCGCTACGGGTTCCAGATCGACCCACAAATTTGAACTACAACCCAGGCCCGCCCGCTGACCCATCCGGGTCGAGCCCATGCGGGTCACGGGTCGCGGTTCGTTCCGGTTTGGCCCGTATATTGTATAAATAAAATTATAAAAATATAGAATTTTTCCGAGAATTTATAGTTTAAATACATCTCAACTAGATTAACACCTACTTAAATCTTAACTATAATTTAGTTGTTCAAAAATTATATAATTTAATATTTGTTTTCCAGGAATTGCAAGATTTTTGAAGTTTTCAGCAACATTATCAATAATTTTATCTTGCTCTCTCTCCCTTTTTTTTTCAAATTTTTAAAATTTTGTTTTTCGCGGGCCAGCGGGTTAACTGCAGCCCGTGAAGGTGCAATCCGCGAAGCTCGCGGGTCACACCTCCTTGACCCGTGAACCGTCCACTCGGGTCACGGGTCGGCTCGAGTCCCTGGTCGATCTGGGCCGATTTTCATTGGTCTGGCCGGCCCGTCCGTCTTAACACCTCTATATCCTGCCATGCTGCGATCATTCGCGCATATTCTTCGAGATGAGTACGAATTTCGCAATCAGCAACATGTAGATGTGTATGAAAAAGTTGGTATGTTTCTATGCATTTAGAGCATGGAAAAGGCTATAGACAGGTTCTTATGCTTTTCAACCATCACTGGAAACTATTGGACACTACTTCAAACTTATGCTTGCAACGGTCATCGATTTCTCCAGGTACGTAATTAAACCGGATCCAAACTACAATCATGGTACCCAGCACCACGTTCCGAATCTTAACAAAAATTTCATATTTCGGGATTGTATATGTGCTATTGACGGTACCCAAGTTAGAGTCGTCCTCCCGCAGGACCAGCGAGTGAGTTTTATCGGACGCTAAGGAATTCCGACACAGAATGTGCTAGTGGCGTGTTATTTCAATTTGTGTTTCACATTTGTGCTTGCTGGCACAATGGGGAACTCTCATGTTGCTAGAATCTTGGATAGAGCGAAGATGGACCCCGAAGCAGCAGCAGAGGTGGAGCTCCCGGACGAACGGGACGAAGTTGCAGCTGAAATGCATGCACAGGAAACCCAACGAAATGGGTGGGATATGTTCAGAGATTACTTGGCACAACAACATTGACATTTATTTTTTATTCATAATTAGATTGAGATTGGTCACACGATGATTTCCCTATGTACACAATTTCCTAGTGTACAACGCAGTTGTTGTCACCAGAAGATCACAAAATATGATTCTAAAATTTCCATTTTCACGTCAATAGCGAATATTGTTCAAAAATGTTATGCCTAAAGTGCAACATATGAAGCCATAACCTTTGTCAGGTGGGACCGCATAATGTGGGTATGAATTGATGAATTTTGAATGGTCAAATAGCTTTTCAGAATTTACAACAGACGTGGGGTTGAAAAACATGACAAATATGACATTTAGCTTCTT